AATCTGTTTGATATTTAAATAATTAATAATTATAATAATTATAATAACTAAATAAGTTTATTAAAATATGAAATTTTCTTAATAACTAGTATATACTTTCTAATCAAAAGTCTTTAATCATTTGATTTAAAATTATAAATTATTATTTTTAAAATAAAATTATATCAAAATTATTAAATATAAATAAATAAAATTTTTTTATATAGCTTTTATCTTTAATTATCTAAAAATAAAAACAAATTTCTTTTATAATCTCTAAAAAATATGAACTTATTAAGTTTAAATAAGAAAAGATTATAGATCTCTGAAAAATAAATTCTAGTAAATAAAATATTTGAGAAATTTCTTGAATATTCTAAAATGATACTATAATAAAATATAAAAATTCAGAAAATATTACAGATATTGGTGTAACCAGACTAGTCACATCAACTATCACATGCAGTGCTGAAATTTTGACTGCATGTATTATATAATAAGATAACTACTTATTGGTCATCATATTGAATTTTTTGGTTAGTTATCAATCTCAATATTTTTTATTGGATTCGACTGAAACTTGGTATCTTTTTATGGAAGTAAATTTATTATTTTTTCATTCCATAAATTTTATTAATATAATGAGATTTTGGCTTAGGGAAGTCTAAATTATTAAGGGTTGCTGTGTATTTATACCACCCAAAAAGCAAAAAGTCTATCTAAGCTATGCATAAGTGAAAAAAAAGAATATGGTAAATTAAATTAGCAATAAAGCTTTTTGAAGACTCAAATTCTAATTTAATTAATTTAAAAGTGGCAAAATATGAATCAGTGACCAATAAATCAGATAAATCGAATGAATCAGATAAATTGAACAAATCAGATAAATCAAACAAATCGGATAAATGTTGGAATGATGAAGTGTTTGATCAAGAATTACATGATTATTTTTTGACTATATTTTAAGTAGCCAAATGACTGAATGCTTTTAAAACTTCCAATCACAAAGCAGTTTATATCGGAGCTGCTAAATTTACTATCCATAATAAAAACCAAGCAATGAGATTGGCTGCTGAAGGTTCTGCAAAAATTGACACATATTTTATTCTGACTATCAATTTATCCAAAATTTATAGTACTATAAAATATTTATTCACATTAAAATTTATATTCACTACATTATAATAATATTTTTAATTTTCTCACTTTTTAGATGTGAATCAAAAAAATGATCTGAAAAAAATTTTAAATAATGAAAAATTGATTTCTATGAATAACGACATTACTTACAATTCCTCTGATGAAGATGATTATTATTTTTCACTAGATACTTTAGAACAGAAAATTAGAATTGGCATTTCTGATATTCATTTTTAGTATGTTGCACAATATCTCTGACTAGTTGCATTAGGGTTTGAGAAAGTTGAAGTCAGTATGATAATTGTATCATTCTTAAATTGTGGGTCATGATATGCTAGATTAATATGATTATAAGCAAGACAATATATGGAAACAAGAACTATCATTACCTCCAAACATGGATATCATCCAAAAATTCATTCTGTTTTGGATGATGAAGATGTAAGATGTCAAGTTAATCAATATCTTTCTACATACAAATTAGAGTTAGACACTGAAAAATTTTGGGCTTTTGTATGAGATAATCTTTTTTCAAATATTGATATTGAAACTGATCGCACTATTTGTAAGACCACAGCATACAATTGACTTAATACTCTTGGCTAGAAATGGAAAAAATATCAAAAAGGACTATATTATGATAGTCATGAAAGAGAAGATGTAATTGAATACTGAAAAGTATTTCTTCAGCGTATAGAATCTTTTGAATTATATATGTCTCAATAGTCAGATGATTTAACAAATCAAATTAGACTAGTATTATTACCACATGAAAAATTACATATTCTTGTCACTCACGATGAAGTAACTTTCTTTTCTAATGACAGAAGAAAAGCTTTTTAGAGTCCAGATAATGAACAACTACTTTGGTCAAAATCTGCTGATGCCAGTTTAATAGTTAGTAATTATTTATGTGATACAATTGGATAATTAAAATTAAATTCTGCAAGACAAGCAGAAAATTTATTGCTTCTCTTGGATCAATAAATTCCTGAAGAAGCTTGTATAATTATACATCCTAGAAATAATTGGGATGGTTATTAGAGTAACAAGGATATTACCAAATAACTTAAAGAAAAAGCAATTCCAATATTTAATGCAATATATCTAAATTATATCATAATTTTTGCTTTTGACAATAGCATCAATCATGGTTCATATGCTGAAAATACTTTATTAGCTAAACGAATGAATCTTACATTAGGTGGTGCTCAACCAAAAATGTGAAATATTATAATGCGTGATGAAAGATCTCAATTAATAATTTTTGAAGATGGAATAGCCAAAGATTTATGAGTTATTCTAAATGAAAGAGAATATAATACTACTAGATTACAAAAAATATGTCAAGTATATATAAAAGACCAATCTGAAAGTAATAATTATTGTATAGTTCATATTATATCATTAGAACCAGACTTTGCAAATCAACAATCATTACTTCAAGAAATTGTGAAATCAGCTGGACATGAAATTATTTTTTATCCAAAATTTCATTGTGAACTCAATTATATTGAAAACTTTTGGGGACAAGCAAAAAAATATACATGTAAACATTGTGATTATTCTTTTGATAATCTTAAAAAAACAGTTCCAAATGCTCTTGAATCTATTTCTTTAATTTAAATAAGATATTATTCTCAAAGAGTACTTTACTATATGAGTGCTTATAGATTAGGATTATCTGCAAAACAGGCAATTTTTGCAGTAAGAAAATATAGATCTCATAGAAGAATTCCAGATAATATTTTGCAAGAATTAGATAAATTTGAATAACTTTGATCGATATTTGTAATTTTGACCAGCATTACTAATGCTAACTTTAATTCTGGCCAAAATTTAAGTGCTAAAATTTGAAAACTTCTAATAAAACAAAAATTTTCAAAATTATAAAACTCAAAATATATAATAATTTTCAAAAATTTGACTCTATTAGTTTGTTGTTTAAGTTAAAATCTTTGAAATAATAGAAAGTATTTATCAAATTAAATAGTATAATCTTTATTTCTATTAACCCAAAGTTAATACTATTTAGTTGATATGACTAGTCTGATTGCACTAATACTCTATATTCAGAAAGATTATTAAAACTCATAGCAAGAAAGATTAGAAGTCTTGTAAAATTAGTTAAGGAAGACTAGTAATAATTATTAATTTTAGTATCTTTTAGTACTGTAAAGTATACTTTACATATTAAAAAGTTTTATGAATGAGCTGGAAAGAGAAAATTATTTATTTCTGAACAAAATCATAAAAAAAACTAGAATAATGCTATAAAAGAAGAAATTGAAATAATGAGTAAAATTCTATTATTTGAAGTGATAAATCTCACTTTATATTATTTCAAAATGATATACATCACTGAATTTGGCATAGATTATAGATTACATGAAAAATAGGATGTGAATTGCTTAATTCCAACTGTAAAATCTGAAAATCAAGAGGTTATAATATGGAAATGTTTTGCAAAAGATAAAATTAGTTCTTTAATTCAAGTTTCAGAAAAAATAACAGATTCTATATAAATAGAAATATTAAAAAATACTTTTTACCCTTTTATAATAGTTTAAAAAACAATTCACAATATAATTTTCAAGATAATAATGCACTAATATATAGGGCAAGAATGGAAGATGAATAGTATGATATTAAGTCTTCAATGATCTGTACAGAGTCCAGATCTTAATCTAATTGAACATTTGTGGGATGTTTTGAAAAGAAGGGCTAGGAAATATATTGTGAAATTAATGGTAATTTGGAGGAGGCGTGGAATAAAATTGAGCCTGAAATTTTAACAAATTTAGTTGAAAGTTTGCCAAGAAGGGTTCAAGCAGTATTAGATAGCCATGGAAATCCAACTAGATATTAATAAAATTCGTTGAAGTTTGTGTATTTTATCCGGTTTTAAAGTGGTCGGATACTTTTGACCGGGGATTGTACATGTTTTGCTGCATTTTGATTTCATTAGATCTTTTAACAAATCCTCTCCATCTTTAAATTTTTAAGATTGTTTTATATCATATGGGTAGGGATCTTTGTTCTCTAGTGGATGTCGTTATGTAGAGTGTATTTCGTCATTTTCACGATTTAAAAGTTAATGCTGATAAAATAAAAGCCAGTTTTACCTCGGTTTGGTGACCTGTGTCAATTATACCCAAAAGCAAATATCTTAAGAATTATAGGTTTTTACGATGGCCAGTTATTGTTATTTGATAATTTAAGTTTGCGAAGTGGCGGACATTTTTTATGTGTGCAAAAGTATGCGAAAAATCTCGCTTGTTATGGTTGAAATTTTGACGTTTTCTGAGGTAGAATTTACACAAATATTTTTTGCGCCTTGCCTTTGTCTAATACATGTACGCTACTTCTAAAAATCACATGCAATAATTACGTGAGCATAAAAAACATGCATTTGTAGAAACTACATGTTCGAAAAGATTTGGCTAGAAAGCGTCGTCTCAAGCTTTTATTAATAAGACGACGACTATCGGACTGTAAATTATTCAAATACAATTTCTGATTTTAAAATCAGGCTTATACCAGAATTTTAAATTTACAGAAATTTTCCCGAAAAATCTAGGTCGATTATTAATAAAAGAATAAAAAGTAAAATCATTCCAAAACTTGAATACCATTTCTTCTTGTCCAGGCTTGTTTTCTCAGCTATTTCTCAATTAGAAGAAGCGTTATAAATTTGCATTCAGGCCATTTATTATTTATGGTCTCTTGTTTTCGTATTCGAATACGTAAGTAGCATAGAGTTTATAGAGTTTGCATGTATGCTTTAATCTTAAAATTTTTGATCCAATGAGATAAATAAAGTATAATGCAAAAATCTCGACATATTGTGTGTGTGTGTTTCAATTAATGAAAGGTGAAGTTTATTTTTTCAAGTCATCGATTAAATAAATTCCCAATTCTCTTCTCATTCCATCAATATCCTTTTCAAAGTACTCTTCAAAATAAACATTCATTAATAGCTTGCTGCTGGAACCACACTGCACCGCCCAAGGAACATAAATATCAAACAAATGATTTCTTTCCTTTGAAGTCAATCTCAAATGCCCAAACAATGAACTCAATAAAGACACTGGGAGCCCTGTCTGTGCTAACTCGAACCATTTCAGCGCTAGTTCTCCTTCAACAGTTGTAGGAAGATTTGTCAATGTATGAAAGAAATCATGTGCTTCCCGAAATCGACGCATAACATAGGCCAGCTCTGGATCATCAATGTACCGAACTTTTGTACGGGAGTCAGGAGTTACTTGATACTTGTCGAGAAATGCAACGTATGCGCGTCCGAACGTGGTTTTGGGAAGCTGACGAAGATAATTGAGGTCTATTGTTTGGGAGTTTACTATTGGTTGTTCGCGAAGAATGCGACGACCGATTTTGTCTTGTAGCATTTTGTCTCGGATACGTTCTAGAAAAATTGTGCCAGTTGTTTCGCCTAATGTAGCGACCATATCTTTAAAACGTATTATCGATAAGAATCTTTGAAATTATTTAAATAATTCTAATATTAGACACATAAAATACCTTGTCGACTAGGGTCAATTAAAGCCGTAAAAGCCGATGAAACACTCAACAACACTTTTTGAAATCCAGAAATTTGCTCATTTTGATTCACCCTTGTGATATAAGTTCTGTAGAAGGATGATGTAAAATTTCGGTGATCTTTATAAAGGAAAAACAATCAAATTAATATCTAAAGGGATTCAATATTAATTCTTCACCTCTTACTTGTTGAACATATTTCTAATATTTTAAAATATGAACTTAATCTATGTGAAATAAAGTTCTGGCGAAATTTAGCGAATAAATTTTGCTGTCGGTAGTAATTTAATGTTAACATTCTTATGACCGACTAACAAGTCGAGAATAAAAGTAAACATGTGCATGTATTGTTGCACGAATTCCCTTATGGAGGAGCGTTTAAAGAGTATTCATCACGTGCTTCGAGTGGCTGATGTACACTTCGGAATTAGGAATATCGATCCTCCGATGGGAATGATAATCATCAAACATTCAATTGTCAACAAGAGCTCTTTCTCTCTCTCTCTCTCTCTCTGTGTGTGTGTGTGTGTGTGTGTGCAATTTTGTCATGGTACTGAACAAAAAATAAACTTTCCTACTTCCTTATTATTTTATTCACTAATAAATTCTCATTCCTTCATTTCTTACTACATGAATTCGCTAATCATCAATTATCACTCTACACTCGCTAACAAGTCTACACTATTTTCGTTTCGCTGTTTGCTCCTTAAAATCAGTCAAATTCGCTATGTTTGCTTCTCAAAATACTTCGGCTGCAAAATCAAAGGTAATTATTTTTAAAAAAGTAGTAAAAAAAGAGAATTTTGTTAGGAATGGCGAGTAGTAAGAAATGAAGGAAGGGGAAAATTTATTATAGTGAATAAAATAATAAGGAAATTGGGAAGTTTGCTCAGCGCCATGGCAAAATTACACACACACACACACAGACACACAGAGCGAAGCTCTTTGTTGACATTACCGCTCCCGCTTAACTGCTCCCCAAATTAGGCTATTATAATACTGTAATACATAGGAATGGTGAGTCCGGAGCGATAAAATTTTTTAATTGGTTTATTTATAACCAGTCACGTGGCAACAATCAAACATGAATCGCAGAATAATATATAGTCCATATAGTCCTTCGCTTACGCTCCGGACGATTATTATCAGATTAGGAAACTATAATGCAGATCCATTAATAATATACAGTGGCAATCAAAAATAATGCAACGCTTAAATTTTTTACTAATTATAATTAGTAAAAAATTTAAGCGTTGCATTATTTTTGATTGCCACTGTACATTTACATGTATAACTCGTTAGAGCTGTGGTTTTTGTACATTAAAGAGAAAAATAAATTCTTAAGGAATATGAGCAATGATCCAATATTGATTTTACTTACAGTCGCACTCCTCTAAGTGCATACCCTTTAAATGCATAACTCCTCTAAATTCTTATTGCATATTTCCTCTAAATGCATATTTTAAAATATTGTCCCGATGGCTATGCATTTAAAGGAGTGTGACTATATTTTTTTGAACCTTGAAAAAAGGGTCAAACTCAAATGTGCACGGTGTAAAAGATCCGAGCCCAAATCCGAAACGGTCCCGAGTATTACTCGGAGAACGGTGTTACCTAACATAAAAATAAACTAAAAAGGCAATTATTAAATGACCTTTGTAAAAAGCGAATAAAAATTGTCATTTATAAAGAGAGGCGAGCGAAACTTTTTCAAATATCTTTGAGAGCATTAGTTTATAAATTTAAATTTTTCTCACGCTGTGTTCTTAACCGACCAAATCTGCGGATCTTGTATTCCGTGCCGTGTTTAAGCTGCGTAACGATAAAAATTCGCTAAGATGGATAAATTATTAGACGAAAATTTTATAAAAATTTTCAATCATGTTCGTTACCCGATGTCGTTTGCTCTAGCTTCTCGTCGCTGGGCTAGAATTGTGGCTGACCCACACGCAAAAGCATTATGGCTAATAACACATTACGGCAAAGCACACGCATTATTTCAAGCAATTAGATTGAAAGAAACATTTATAAACGTCACTGTTGTCCAAATTTTAATTTCTCTTATATTGTCATATCGAGATACTTTATACAACGCTTATTAATGCATTTCGGCAAATATGATGAAGAATTAATAAGCCAAAAAATCGAGCATAATGTGGACCAGCCCGATAAAGAGTATTCCAAAAAAAATCCAATGTCCGTGGGCGAGTCAATTACCCCTCGACGTTTTCACATGTCTTCTTTACGAGGGGTATCAACGTTTTGGTGGATCGAACACAGTTTCTAACGGAAATGATATGGAATTGTTTCACTTCTTATCCGCAGGTCCTTACATCATTAATCATGCGCCAGATGAGTTGAAACAAAACATTGCAAAGATCGAAGAACTTATACGCGTATACCATTTCATACCATTTCCTCCGAGACCAAAACCGAAACTCAACGACTTTTAAATAAAGACAGGCTAATTCCGCTGTCCATGAAGAATATCCACCAAAAAATGGTTATGAGAATTTTAGGCAACTTAATGTGATCGCGTGGCAATTTTGATTTATTCTCCGCTTGTCACGATGTGGAAAAGTGAATGATATCTCGAGATATGTGAAGATTGAACGAACTTGTAATGCTGTTTATCTTGTTTCCACATAATCCAACTTCAGAATGGGAGAAGCGAGAATTAGAAGAGCTTTGTTTCAAACTTACAGATTCTGCTATTGGAAATGCATTATTCTTATTCGAACATCGACTTACAGATATTGGTGACAGATTTAATGAAGCTTTAAAAAGATGCGTAATCAATCAATGAATGAGCTAATACAACGATGTCTAATTAAGTGATATAACCAGAAAGAATCTTGAAAAATAACAAGTTATTTAACTTTTTATAATATGTTGAAATAATATTGGACCGAACCTTGTACAACACTTCAGAGCATGATTTCGGTTCCAATTCGAAAGAAACAGAAACACCTCAACATGAACGAGGCGCAGCCATCAATTATGAAGCATCTGATTATAAAAAAGCATTTGAGTATTATTTGAAATCAACACATTCTGGCGAACAAACTGCAGCCAAATTCGCGATATCGCCATCGTCTCTCTTGAAAGCGTATGTTAAATTATTGCCGATTGTCTATCGCTGGACTTTCAAATTTTTGGAGTCCTTTCTTATTCTGTAAAACTTTTTTTTATGAAATTCTTATAGCACGGATTGCTATAAGATCACTGAATTTGGAATCAGAGTTAATACTTTAATCGGTCAAATAAAAAATTTATATGAAGAATACATTGAAGCAAAGGTACCATATTCAGTGATGCATTTGAGCCTATTAGCGAAGGATGTACACGGTTCATTAATAAGTTTTAACAGACAAAATTTATTCAAAATAAAAATATACGCAAATAAACATTTTTTTATAATTTTTAATATACTGTACAAGTAATAAATATAAAATATGAAGAGCAAAAATAATGTAGCGTATTGCGGTGAACGATAACTATTACGTATGTAATAACCGACATTATTATTAATGGAAATAGAAATTTCATTTGCCGAAAAAGGGGATTTTGCAAATTGGGTATAAAATATGGGACATGACTTATTTCAATAAAATCCGTACAAATTGAAATTACAATCACGACACGTAGATAGAATGCATTCTTCATCAGAAGAAGGATGAAATTGAGGGGAGGAATTAACAAACGCAGTCATATTAGGTTTATGTTCCTGACCAAAATTTTGATCGTTTTCAAGCAAATATGCCAAAATCTTCCGTGCTTCTTGTGCTATTTCTTCATATATACTTTGATCCGTATCTCTCCAAGTATTACCAATTTTTCTGAAAACTTCTTTGCTAGGAATTATCTCAGAATTATTTCCATAAAATGTAGATTGATATATGTCTACAGCTAGTATAGGTCTTTTTTTTTTACTTTTCGAAGGATCCGATTTTTTATTTTTCGAATAATTTTTAAACCTTTTCTCAGCCACTTTTTTAGCGATTTTGTGGCGGATTTCGTAAGGACAAGACATTGTTTGAATTGTATACAAAAAATAGAAATGGCTTTTTATGAAAAAAAAAAGGTTAAATTTTATTTAACGGTTTGTCATTTATAGCTTTGTTTGAGACTCGCTCAAAGCAAAGGTGGTAGCACATTGCCTCCAGGGAAGTTTTTTATTTATTTAAAACTCCGCGCCCTTGAAAGGTCTTACTTCTTATGGAGCCCGCTCAAGCAAAATTCAATTGATTAAGGTTACATTTGAAGCACTATTATGAAAAATTCTTCATATTTCTCTAAGATGATAGAAGTTGTGCAACACATCTTAAAAGTTCATTCACTTTTCTGTCTTTACTGAATCTTGATGGAAATTAGGATGTTACTAATATAACTGTCAATACGGTTATAATTGTCCGTATCGATATCAACATCAATAACTTCACGGATGCCCATTCTCCAAACTAAATTGTTTGTTAAAATCGGAAAAATTTTTAATTGATTCATAAAAATACATGTAATATCAAAGAAAGAATAAAAACTGTTAAAAATAATGTAAGTGTGTTATATTAGCACTTCCTTTTAATATTAAACGGTTCTTTTTTCCATTGTCCATTCTAAAAAAAATATATTACAATGAATAGATAAGCTGCGTAATTATGTTTTCCATTAAATCACCGTTTTTCAAAAAATGCTTCGCTGCAGAGAGAATGCAAAGGAGCAATTCATGAATGAAAAATTATTTATATATATACTTTATTATAAATCAAATTATTTCTGTGAAGAATTTATCATAATTACTGTATACAAAAACATTAATACATGTACATTTATTTAGTTTAAAATATGTATTTTTACGTCATAAATATTTGTTTGCTATGTTTAACATTTTTTTATTAACGTTAACGTTAATATTAATCACAACAATCAATCGTGTAACGCTACAGATTTGAATAATGTTTTTTAGTTCTTGATTTAATCGATAAACGGATTGAGGTCCAGAGCAGTCTATATCGGGGGGGGGGGTTCATTAATAAACCGTTGATATTAAAATTTTCACTAATAAACATATACATGTATCGACGGTTACTGTGCAATCAATCAGGTTGGAAATAACTAATTAAATCTGCAAATTTAATCCAGTATATTTATTACCAATAGTGAACAGTTAAGATAAAATTGTTTGGAATCTTTTAAATTTTGCACAAAAACAAGATTATCCGAACAGAAATCGGAATAAACGGTTAATGTAATTGTTAATTGCACTGGAAGCAATAAATTATTTTATTTTAAATTCACAATTTGTGAAATAAAGTTGTTTTTTGTTCATATCGATATCTAAAACAGTAGATCCGATTTCGCTCATGTACATGTAATGTAATGTAATGTAAATTGCATCAGAGAAACTACAGTTACATGTACACAGCTTTTAGCGAGATGTGTCATAAACTTCGCTTACGTATACGCTATATAGAAAACTATTTATATACAATTCACCAGTTTTAGAAAATTATCGCCCTTCGCTCAACCCGGTCCTTTGTTTAAAAAAGCAGGATTTTTACTTATAGCGATAGCTTTGGTAATAGTGTATTCAACTCCGTTATACACGTATTTATTTATCTGTAACGCCTTTTTCGAAGGAATCATACACATAAGCTAGTTTTCTACTCATTACCTTTATCATCTTATTTTTCTTCACTTATTCCGTCCAAGAGAAAAATTTTTGTTATATTTCTAAATTTTACATACTCATCTAATTGAAACCATGAATTTTCTTAGATCCTTCTGCGGACGAATACAGAAACAAATTCTTAAAAAATTTAAACATAAAATTCCTAATAGATTTTTATTGTTTAGGACTCTATTGTCAGTCCACTTTACAAAAAATTTAACATTGTACTGCCCTTTGTCTGTCTCCTCTGATAAAGCTGACAACTTTTTATATCACATTTAAGTTCATGCCATTATAAATGTTACAAAAATGAACTTTCTAATTTTTATACGAAGAACTAAAAAAACGAAATGACTAATTCGTGAGTTTTAACTTATCTTTTTAAAAATTTGAATATATTATCTTATTAATTAAAATTTATTGATTTGTATAAGAAAAGAAAATTAAAGTTCGCGCAGCACCGGAACTAATGATGCTCCTATTATACAACCTCGCTATTATCATTCGTATGATGCATACGTTAAACAAGATTTTTCTGATTTAACAGCCTTAAAAGCAGCTCAATTAGCTTTACTCAATGCATCCGTATCAATCTCAGTTTCTCCATATGCTCCGTTTCTAGACCATCAATAATATGAATTAAATATTTTAATCTTTCTTCCAATTCGATTTTTCATCCTGAGAATTAATATATTTGCGAAGATCACCATCTGCACAATCCATTAATGGCGGGTCGTTCAGGAAAAGAAGATTACATTAAGGTATGATGAGGAAGTAGTGAAAAAAATCCTGAACGAGGCTTATTCAATTGAGTATGGGGCTCGTCCGATTAAACATTAAATTGGAAAAAAAATCAGCACGTTAAATTAAAATCGTGTATAACGATAGGAAATCTCAGATCATGCACAAATGCTCGATTGTGTCATCTGTAAATTAGCACCGGATCCGATTTAGTGCTCCGAAGGGGTCGAATTGGGTCGGGTTTTGGACATATTCGTATTCGACCCGAGTATAAAAATTAAAATAT